TTCCTTCATTCTCTCCCTCTCTCTCTCTTCTCTCTCTCTCTCTCTCTCTCTCTCTCTCTCTCTCTCGTCTCGTTCCTCTGACTCCTCTCCTACTACTCTCTCTCTCTGGTCTCTCTCTCTTCTCTCTCCTCGCCACGCTCCATCCCTTATCAAAAAATTTCTGAATTCTCTGCATCCTCCCTCTCTTTTCTACTAAATAGTTAATCCTATGTTAGAAATATTAATCCAAAATGAAAACAAGAATGTGTGTAACTGATGATTCAATTTCCAGTGAATATAATACTCAAGTATTCAATTGACGATAAATAAATGCAGAAAATTTTACAACACTTTGTTGTGTAAAATTGTGTTTATAAGATATATGGATGAATCTTTTTCTTTTTCATCCTCAGGCATCAAACTCATCTCTAAATTCTAATGTTAAGTTGCAATTTTCATGAATGAGCAAAGATAACTATGTCAAACACTCAGTTAACTAGACTAATTGTTGCAGTACCATCTTTTCTCTCCTAAACCAGACTATTTAAAGATATGCACCCAATGGTGTTCTTAGACCAAATGCCTGAAAAAGTATGTTAAATGTTTTTCGTTTAAACTTTTATCTATAAGATAAAGAGTCGATATGTTCATGCTTAATGCCCTCTACCTCATAATAAATGCATGTCCAAGTAATTGGCCTGAGGACTCTCTCGGACAGCATACACTCATTTTTAAACAACTGTAGTGCATGCATTCTTGTGAATGAAAATAACTCACCTAGGCCTCACCAAGTCTCTTTTTCATTCTAATTAGCTAACACTTACCCCAATGGGACCAGGAAAATGATGTTCACTGTAGTAGTATTTTGTGAAACATATCTACACATAGATATCTCCATTAGTGCTCATCCATTACAGAGACAATTAGTAGTATTGTGCCCTCACCTGATTTTCACCTCCACTGAGTTTTCTATCTTTTTTTTTTCTAATGCTACTAGTTTGATGCCAGTGCGAGTGGCATATATACATACTGCCATGCTGACTTTGAGTTTTGTTTATTAATTGCCTTTACACACAGATGACCAATGAGCCAATTATGAGTACTACCTATCTCATCTATTTACTATTTTCCTTGATTTTTGGAAATATTTTCTGGTATCTGATATTACTGTTAGTAATGTCAATAACATCATAATCGTAATGTCTATAATAATAAAAACAGCACTGATAGTAATAGTATTAGAAAATAAAGGCAGGTCAAGTCACAAGGGCTACAAATCTACTCCTTTCTGGCTAAGCACTTGCAGAGCCATTTCACATAATAATACTACAGTGAACACATTTTCCTGGTGAAGTGGGGTTAACAATGTCTTGCTATAAGACATATTTTTATTGTAAATTCAGTGTTATGTTGATTTACATATAATCCTCTCACATTACTGTGTGAGCAAACCCATGTATGTAACATTTAGGTATTAAGTCCCTCCATGTTCAAGTTGTTTCACTGGTTTGACCTGCTAAAGAGACTGGCCAGTCTAAAAAAATATGGGTTCTACTCACACCTACATGAACCAAATATTAGCCTGACATAGTCAAGTTGGTCAGTTGATCTTTCCAGCCCTTGTTCAGGTAGCCTCAAAGGCCCATATACTCAGATTTACCAGTTTTGATCAGGGAAGCAAACAGTGGTCTGAGCGTATATGAGACCCATCAAGCAGAGGAAAGAGAAGTCTTTGGCAAAGCATCCCCAAGTCATCCTTTACACTATACAAATAATTAACCCCTAGCCAATGGGTGGCATGTACGTATATGCCAAGGCTGATGAGGACCGAAACACAGATGGCATTGTATCATGCCCGTTTCCCATGCCACTGGCTCGTCGGTTGGAATTTTGTTTTCTCTGATAGTAGTGGCTTCATTTATATGGTTAAGATTTTAGGCAATGACACCTATAATGAAGGTAAACCGTCAAAATTATAATATTTTTATAAATTATAACAAGATAAAAGCTTTTAGGTGCTAAATGTCACTCACAAACTACCAATTGAGCCGGGTGCAAACAGGGGAAACTGCCGATGCACGCCAACAATCCTGTTCTTACTTCCACTTGCCAAACATTTTTACCCGTCGGCACTGGGTTTAATGGCATGGCTGCCTGTCATCAGAAATATATGACAGAAATGTATGAATATATAAATAAAATGAAACAAATCAAAATGTAAAATAAATATCTGCTTGAAGGCTATATACACTTTAAATCTTTTTCTGGTTTGAACACAAAATGATATAGAAGAAACAAACAAGGGAGAAAGAATACTTTTTAGGGTGTAGACTATATTCGTCATTATAACTGGTGGATTATTCTGATTACATAGTTTTTGAAGCTATTAATACTTTAATGTATGTCAGTAGAATTTTATTTAAAATACTCTGTACCACTTGCTTGCCACTATCCCACAAAAGCTAACTAGGTTTTGAAATAATTCATAAATTATCACTGAATCATTATCTTATATAAAAGTCTTATGCTTAACTGGCAAGAATATAAAACATGTCTGTATTAAAATATAGATTAAAAACTGCTTATGCATACAAGACAGATATATGGACGGGCTGTCTCTTCTAATACTTTATGTATATCCCCATACTTTTGAGAAAACATCTAATACTGTAATGATAATCCCCATGACTTTGTTGTAACACTAATCTACAGCTGTTCATGTTTCTTACAAGTATTGCCAATTCCTTCAACATAAACACTAACTTAAATACTCTCAATATGAGATTAATCAATCTTTTTTTAAGTATGTCCAGTGCACAGCTACCACTCCAGTAAATATCTGCTCTCCTTCCAGCCATGTAACTCTTAGAGCACTTTGTAAGCTTTATTCTGAAAAAGCTAAAAAATCAACTTTGGGTGTTTGGAAAGTTGCACTAGCACAAATAGCCCTGACTAGCAATGCATAGAAAAGCATGCAATGAAGTGAAATGGGATGAAAAAAAGATGAAAAACTCAAAACCATCTACCTCAAAATGGTTGTTAGTAACATTTGCTGAAGAAGTGAATCCCCAATTCTGGACTGTCATTACCAGACAAAGGGAGAACCACAAAAAAATGAAAATATAAGAAGGAAACTGAAGAGAAGAAAAACTGCTTGAAAATGTTTATTCCTTCTGCCAGTAAAAGCATTTCAGAAATTCAAAACATTTATTTTCAGATTACATAAGCTGCTGGGACAAGCACAGGAAATATAAAAAATTAGATTGCTTTACTTATCAGCAGGAAAAAAGGCATTGCAGCTTTGACATAATAGTAAAAGAAAGAAAAAAATCATGATGAAAATCTTGCTTTTTCATTTTAAAAATTGGAATTTATCAATCTTCAAAGTCTAAAATATATATAGACTCTATTTTACATAAAATCAAACTTAAAATATTTGAGCAATTGCTACAGTAAAGAAGGAGAATTAAAACCTAATTAGCAGAATATCTAAAATACAAAATATAATAGAACATAATACACAAAAAAAGAGAAAAAAAAGGAAAAGGGAAAGAAAAGAAAAAAATAAATAATTTCTGTATATACACATTTCAAAATGAATTTAGTCTTTTAATTCTAAAATAATAGCGAAAATATATAAAAATAAAAGGGTTACACAAGAAATCTGGAAAAAAAATCTGGCCTTCTAAGATAGTCATCTAACACAAAAACACACAAATCAAAATGAGTATTTTAAAATGGAAGAGTAATGCTTGATACATAAATGTTCATTTTTGTGAAGTATAAATACTAAGGCAGGAATACTTCCAAATCATAAGGTTTTCACTTTGCCTTACATTTTATGACTTACATCCATATCTTGTAAAAGCATCTAGCTGAAACCACGCCACTCAGAGAAAATTTGAACAAATGACTAATATATTGTGATCATCTTGGAGATGCTCTCTCATTTAAAAAAATCCTTAATATATAAGATATATATTTATAAATTTCAATGAGATAAATATAATTTTTCATGCTTGCAGTTTGCTCTTCAAAGCAATATTTGAAGGAGGCCAAAGTGAATAAAAAATAGACTTCGGACAAAGACAATCAAGGTTTATACCAATGACTATGTCTGTGCATGTACTTAGTTATATGTATGTATGTATGTATGTATATATATATATATATATATATATATATATATATATATAATATATATATATATATATATATATATATATATATATATATATATTTAAACACATACATCTACAGCAGCATTGAATTTTTTCAGTTTCTTCAAATTAGAAAACTAAACTAAACATGCAAAGGTAAGAGGACTCATTAAGAAACAGGATATAAGAAACATGCACACAAATACCTTTGCTAGTTAGTCCCCAAATAACAACAGGCCAAAAGGAGATTAGCAGAAAAGCATAGTATTTTTTCCTTTTCCTGTTTTAAGTAATCTTGAAACACATACCACCTTCACTTCACATTCTCATCAGCTGATGACAAAGTATCACCAGTCTTGGAACACTCGTTTAAAAGACACATGTAAAATATCTGAACTAACTACTACATTGGGAAGTAATTGGACTAGAGCAAACCTAATCGAAAGTCCAATCAATGTCTTAGCTCATCGTCACTTACATCCTGCTCCTCTTGGTTATTAATTGTTCCTCCAAAGTTAACATAGTCGCGAAGGGTAGAGATTCCTGGTGCTTTCAGACCCAAAATGAAGAGCAGGCAGCCACCCACATATCGGAGAATGAAGAGGACAAATTCCAACTTGTCTGTTATCCTGTTGAGCATAATCACCATGTTATCTAAAAGGATTCCTAAAGTAAAAGTAGTACAGTTTAAGGTGGGGGTGTCCATGTGGGTGTAAAATACTACATATATAGCCAATCTAAATAGTGAAATAATAAATTCTCAGTGCATTATTTTGGATGAGATCTCTCTTAACTTATGGTAACATTAAAAAGTAATTTTCAAGTCCTTTAAAAAAAAGAAAGAAAAAAAATACTTACGTGGTCAGGTCAAACCACCAATCTTCATTGCGTAAATTGAGGAAAGCGAGATTCTCACTGACGAAAACAAGAGTCCAGAAAATGAGAAGCACAACTCCATGTCCTCTTGTGGGCACAGTGGGTAGGAGATAGTTGCGCTCCAGGAATATTATTCTTAGTGATAATGGCCAGCACACCAAGTTGCACACGTGGTATACAATCATATACCCGTAGAGTGTGCGGTCACCTGATGAAAGCAAGTTCAATATCAATAACTTTATCTAGAGAATATGTTCTAACTGTATATTTTCTTTAAATGGATGCAGATATTTCAACCTAGATGTGAAGTTAAGCAGCACCAAAAAAAAGTTCTTGCAGTAAAAAAAGAAAGAACGAAAATAAAATAACAACTACATATCATACATATCAAAAACAAAATTTACACACTCATGTGATCCCTCCTCAAAGGTACAAAATGAAGACTTACCAATAATTGTGGTTGTAGAATAAGCCTTGCCGTAGCTATGAAAACCATGAGAATTGTTAATGCGACTTGGATCCCAAAGAGCACAGACTTTGGCCGCAGGTACTGATCTGTCATGGTGGCATACTTGCGGTACATGAGCCATTGGCCTCCCCCAAAGATGGTGATGAATAAGGCATAGACTGCAGAAGTGACAGTATCCAGGAAGCAGTGAGATATGCCATGGTTAACCCATATATGGTCGAAAGTAATGTTGGGCGGGCAGTACATCATCTTTGCTGTGTCTTGCCACCTGTCTTGTGCTGTGTCAACATACAAAAAATAATTATAAGTACATGGCTATAATTACATGTGTGTGTGTACTTATGTGTATCATGATATATGCACAGATTTGAATGTATCAACATGAACAAATCATATTAGGAAACCTTGAAGAAAAACATTTCTCTCAGAAAATGCATTTACTATCATAGAAATAAAAGGAATATCTGCTATTACTCTAAATTTCAAGATGGTCATTAATCATTAAATGAGAAGGAAAGTCCTCAACTACATTTCATACATAAAACATGAATATCAACCCTAAGCATTTACATTTAAAAGTTAGAAAAATTTTGGCAAAATGCCAATAAACCTCATATATTTCTGCCAAGACAAAATAGTAATTCTTTGCAGTACAGACACACACACGAGACTAAGTCCGCAACTCCACAGCACATAATTATTCAACAATCTCTATTAAAATGACTGGGGTTGGGTTTACAGTGGGGTCACTGGGTAAAGATTGTCTTTGCCTCAGTATGCACCGCAAGATACAGCTGAAATTCTGGAGCACTGATTGGATTTAGACTTTGAATGGTACTTTCTGTGATCTTTTTCCTTTCTTTGTGGCATTATTGTTCATGTCTACTAATAATTTCTTGCACATCGGATATCATCTCAAATTTGCCCTAGTTTAGTGTGTCCCTATTAACTTGTAGACTTTCAATGCAATTTACTGTCAAAAAAGGGAAATGCTTAAGCTCTACCTAGTTGCACAGGTCTTCTAAACAATCACCCAAAATACTGACAGTCTACAGCACACACAAATTATAAATCTGGAAAAAGAATCAGGTTAATCTGTATGGTATGGATGCTAAGGTAGGGCAAACTGATGATATACCTGAAGAGGACTAAAAGTTGTTATTGTCTATACAAGAAATAATTTGCAGATGAGAAAAGTAATGTCAAAAATAAAAGAAAAAGACTGGGGGAAGCACTGCTCACAATTTAAATCCACTTGGTTTCAACTTTACCTTGCCATGTATATGAATGAAGTGAAGACAATGCTTCTGAGGGGTGTTGGGAATAGAGACCCCCATCAACCCTCCCCTCAGGCAGTGCCCAATAGGCACCCCAGTTACCGCATCTTACATTGTTGAATAAAATTTGTGACATGGAATTGAGGTCTTACAGTGTTTTAAGCTGGGGTTTGCTTGGTCTAGAATTCTTACTCCAAGCGCAAGAACTGCACTGTTAGCTGCTTAAAGCAACTGCTAGAGCCGAAGAAGTGTTTTCCGCACAAAACAAGTTGCTGGACTATGAATTTGAAAGGTAAGCGTGTGTTAATTTTTGTCATTTAGCGGTGACTATAAGGCCCCTGCAGCTTAAACTAATGATCAATCCCACTTATCTTCCGTTCTATAAGATGGCAGTGTCCATTATCTGTATCTACACGTATCGGTGTCTGTAACCTCTACCATACTCTGTATTTCATTGAATAGTAGGTATGTTCTTGATTTTGAGAGACGAGGAGTTTATAAGAGATAAATTGTTTGTCTTATAATGATATGATTTATAAGATAAAAGCTTTGTAAATCTCAGAATCTCCATTATCTCCTTTTATTTTCAGCTAACTTCACTTTCTTTAATTATAATGTTATGGAAATTACACAAAGAGAAACATAAAAAAATTAATTTCTCAGATAAAATATTAAGCGGAAGGTAATTTTCTATGTTACCTTCGCCTCTCCGATATTGACGATTTTGGTATCGTTGGATTCCTCTCACTGTCCACATTGCAAATACATAGTTTTTATTACACAGAAACCCCCGTTAGCAACAAACTTGGCCCGGTAACAGGGGAGGGCATGAAAGGTTCCAGGGAAAATGCGGGGTTAAATAACACTAATAATATAACCCACAGTGAAAATAACCATGGTTATTTACATGACTTTCCAATTGCAGAGGGCTGCTGCCCACCCAACCCCCACCGAGGAAACAAAACCTCCACCACGTATTCCCGGCAGGCTAGAGCGTTACACAGTTATCGGTGATCTTGGAGCGGCGGACGTATTACATTTACCTCGTAACATTCCCACTGAATCAGCATACTAACCTTGACATAGTCAGCATTGTATACAGACACGATTGTAGTATAATCAGGATGAACAAGTATACCATGAACAGAAGAGTGGTGGTGACCCGCCCTCGTCGGTCGGCGAGTTTTGCACCTTTCTCGATGCATCTAGTTCATGTGCCCTCTATCCTGCCGTGAATACGTGGGGGATATTTTGTGTCCTCGGTGGGGGGTTGGGGGGCGGCAGCCCCCTGCAATGGAAAGTCATGTGAATAACCATGGTTATTTTCACTGTGGGTTATATTATTAGGGTAATTTTCTAAATTATGTCCGCCGCTCCAACATCGTCGCCCCTGCTATCGGGGCCAAGTTTGCCGCTAACAGGGGGTTTCCGCGCAATAAAACCTATTTGTACAGAGTGAGAGGAATCCAACGATACCAAAATCGTCGATATCGGAGAGGCTAAGGTAATATAGAATATTACCTAAGCGGAATTCTTGGCCAATGCCCGCATTCGAAGGTTTGTAACCAGTACAGTACATGAACAACCCTGTTGCAATGGTGATGGTACGCCACTTGACTTAGCTAGCGAAAGTCTAGCCATCTACGGGATCGCTTCAAAAAACAAAAAGGATTCTTGAGAACCATGAAAAAGTCTTGAGATTTTAGGCAAGAAATTTCTCTTCTTAAAATGCACTTAGTCTCTGGCGAATGTGTCAGTACTGTAAGGAATTACCAAAAATAAAAATATGATAATCAAAATGGTAAATGGTATTCCCTGATATCACATCATATCGAATCATCCTTAGATATCGTAGGCAGACAGACTAATAGTACACTTCATCTACTAATATCACTCACACGAAAATCAAAACAAAAACAGAAACATACTTTCTGAACCTAGATAAACGCAAGCAGTTTATTCCTTTGGTAAACCCATATTGAAGCACAAAGTCTGTATATCTAAACAATGAATACAAAAATACCTCACGAAAGACCATGTAGAAGATATAAATAAAATACGACTTTTGTTTCCTACGTGTGCCTTGGGCTTTTACGTAAAATCTCGTGTTTGTGAAATCCCTCCGACGTCTTCCTTGTCCTCTGCATCATGTTTACGTAATACACAGCTTGTTTCATTGTAACTGGCTTAACAAGTCAGTACAATCCTTCTATCCTGTACTTGTAAACCGCATTACTTACTTAACTGCAAAGAGAGTAATTTTTAAGCAAGCCGTACGCGATATCCCATGGCCTCGAGCTATGGCGGTAATTCGGTAACTGGCAACTCAACATGTAAATATTAGCTTGCTTTCATTTATTTTTTGTTTTGTCACTGTTTTGAACATGTTGAGCAACTATTAAGATATATGTTAAATTTAGATTAATATTTCTTGAATATTTAGCATTTGATCTAATACTGATATGTGTTCTTCAGAAGGCAATTGTTTCTTTTTTATTCAAAATACTACGAAATCGTTTCTTTTTCTTTCGTTTTCGTCTTCATTATAAATTTTATTTTATGGTTTAACTTTCCCGTATTGCCTTTTCGTTCTCATTGGAATTTAGGTAATAAAAAATGACTACGAATGCTTTCAGGTTGGTATATATATTTTTTTCTATATCCATATCGGGAATAACCCAAGTCGTTCTCGACTTCCGTTTTGTTTCCTTTTAGCAATATGTTTTAGTCCATCATCACTCACTTCTCGGTGAAGGTCAAATTGCTGATCATAAATTCAATGACCCAGATTTTTCCTCGCATATGCATTACCATAATGTACAAAAAAAAAAAAAAAAAAAAAAAATCATGAATCCATTTTCTGAACTGCGCAAATGAGAAAATAAGCTAATTGGGGTATATTTCAGGGCAATGATTAGTTTCATAAATCAAGAGGTTCATCCATACAAAACTGAACCAAAAATTGATGATATTCTAGCAGAGACCTGATTTTATAGAGGTCTGTCCATCACAGTCCAGTATCTGTCTAATAATGTACTATTATATGTACACATACACATACACACACACGTGTGTGTGTGTGTGTGTGTGTGTGTGTGTTGTGTGTGTTGTGTGTGTGTGTGTGTGTGTGTGTGTGTGTGTGTGTGTGTGTGTGTGTGTGTGTGTGTATGTTTGTGTGTGTGTGTGTGCATGTTGGTGTGTACATATATTATCTATCTATCTAATCTATCTATCTATATATCTATCTATCTATCTATCTATCTATCTATCATCTATAATATCTACTCATAGTATCTATATATATATTCCTCTCTCTCTCTCTCTCTCTCTCTCTCTCTCTCTCTCTCTCGTCTCTCTCTCTCTCTCTCCATCTCTCTCTCTCTCTCCTCACTCTCCTCTCTCTCTCTCTACGCTCTCTGCTCCGTCTCGTCTCTCTCTCCCTCCTCTCTCTCTTCTCTCCCTCCTCTCTCCTCTCTTTCTCTCGCTCTTGTGTCGTCCTCGTGTGTGTTGTGTATAGTTGCCTGTCTCTCGTGTTGTGTGTGTGTGTGTCTGGCTGTGTTGTGATCGCTGTGTCATCGATGCTGCTGTGCGTGCGTGAACTGCCTGCTCTGGGGGTCACCCACCCCACCACTACTACTATCATCCAATCGCCTTTGAATATGACCTCCATCACCACTACCCCATCACATTACCTATCATACCCGACCCTC